AGATTTATATCTATATAAGAGAAATATATCTATAAATAAACCCGTATAATAAACCCGCGATGCATCAGCACAAGAACTAGCCTGACTGACAGTGTTGGGGAAAGTTACTCCGCTTCCGACCGCTAGATGGCAGCACAACAGCATTCAAAATGACATGACCTTCACTGAACACTTCACAATATCGAAATTAAGCTGTTATTTATTAATTTCGCCGTTTGTTTATCTCCCTTCTGGAAAATTAAATCTTAAACAAGCCTATGGTTTGTTGGTCTACCAGCTGGTGCTCAGCAGGTTTAGCTGGTCATCAAGTGTTCTTCCAACCTGACCAGACCAAATGTGCCAGAAACCCACCTCAAACCAGCCAATGGACCCTTTTCACAAGACTGTGACTAGAAAAGACGGTCATCAGCATCGTAAATCCTCGAAAGTTTTTCATATTTGTATTTTTTTTTTAATGTATGTACATTTAGAACACTATTCTTTTTATTATATCACCTTTGCATCAAATATATATATATATATATATATATATATACACACATATATACACACACACACATATATACACACACACACATATATATATATACATATAAAAAACTAGTTAAAACGAATGCCAGGGTGTTTCTATTGCAGTGTCTATAGGAGGGACGGTAAATTTGACATCGTTCTCTCTTCTGACAGCTGTTATCAGTCTCTCTCAATTTTTTTCCTTTTATTGAAAGTCATGAAAACACTAACGTGGAGTTTTTCTTTTGCTATTTGAGCAAACGGGAATGCAAAAAATATATTTGTGGTACTCTCCCATTCACTGCTCTTCAAGTTAACCCAACTATGACGACTTCCGCTGCTGAGAAACCCGGAAATGTGAAAAGGGTCCATACCAGCAAACGTCAAATGTCACACACAAGAATAGTTTGTTCAGTTTTGACAGAAATACAATACAATAAAGAACATATTCCTTAAACTACAAGTTTATCGACAACACAAAGGCCCTTACATAGTGTTTATTTATTACATGATTTTATATTTTAAAATAATAAATAAAAACAAAATAATTGTTTTATTACTATATTTATAATTTAAATAACAATAATAACAATTATTATTATTTAAAAATAATTATGAGATTTTTCATTCAAAATGTTGCATTTAAAATTGCAGTGCATTATACCAGTTCACACTCCTTTCTCTGAACATGAGGAAACTAGTCATCTAGAATTATTTAAAAAAATAATGAGTACATTTTAAATTCAATTTTTATTTATATTTTTATAAATATAAGGGTTTAGGAGGATTTACGATGCTAATGACCGTTAAACGTGTAAACACAGTCTTGTGAAAAGGGTCCATTGGCTGGTTTGAGGTGGTATATTTGCCGCTGTCGCCTCTGGCTTGCTTAGTTGGGGACACTTCATTTCCAGCGATATCGTTGACTTGATTGCAAATAATTGCAAAGATACTATTTAAACTGAACTGAGCTGGATGATGACATAACTGAATTGAATGATGAACTGTCTTTAACTGAAAAATGAGTGTTTACTATTGTCATTTTGCATTATTGACACACTATTTTCCTAATTAATGCTGTTCAGTTGCTTTGACACAATCTGTATAGTTAAAAGCGCTATATAAATAAAGGTGACTTGACTTGACTATATTTAGAATTTTTAAAATAATTATAAATGTATTTAACAACAACAACAATTATTATTATTATTATTATTATTAACAAATATTTAATACATTTTAATTCAAAATTTGGCAAGTAAGTGCATTAAGTACCAGATCAAACTCTTTGTATAAACATGAGGAAACTACTTAGACTAGTAATCTAGCACAGTTTTCTGCCTAACAATTATAAATTCAAGTCTTTAACTGTGCATAATAGGCATCTTCAAGTTAAGTGCTGTATGGCGGCGATCCGGTCTGTCTTGAGAAATCAAATGAAAGCCCACTAAACATAAAATGTAGGGTCACAATCAGTACATAAACCAATTCACAGCTTTTGCCTGATAATTATCATCATGTAGGCTAAACCATAATCAGGAAAAACCCTTCTTGTGTTTGTATAGAAACACTTCTTCTCCATTTAGATATATGTTTGCATTAGTGCTGTCAAACGATTAATCACATCCAAAATAAAAGTTTTTGTTTGCATAATATATGTGTGTGTTCTGTGTATATTTATTATGTATATATAAATACACACACATACAGTATATATTTAGAAAATATTGACTTGTCTATATATTCATATAATTTATATCATAAATATATTTAATACAGAAAAATAACATATTTTTCTGAAATATATACATGCATGTGTGTGTATTTATATAAACATACACAGTACACATACATATATTATGCAAACAAAAACTTTTATTTTGGATGCGATTAATCGTTTGACAGCACTAGTTTGCATCCACAGCTTCATTTCTGAAGCTAAAGCCCTTTTTTGCACAAGAGCATCTGCAGAATTCCTTAAAAGACAAGAGTTTTTATTGCACCGAACCCTTGGAGATCACCAGTTTACGGGCAGCGGGACGGTTAATGTTCAACTCATCTGGGAAACTGTGTTTATCTCCGTCCACATGATCACATTCTGAACAGGTTTAACACTCCCAGAGTTCCTGGCCTTCTAAGATGTCACGGACGCACAGAAATAAACTCGCTGCTCATCAGCTGAAACTCATCTGGGGACGTTACACAACCTACAGTCTACAAACATGAAAATATCTTTTGAATAACGCACAACTCACTGGAGAAAGGTTCTCGTTTCTGTAAATAAATCATCTTTTATTTATGCAGAACTCTTATTTTGTCCTGTGTTGATGAAGTGTTGATGTATTTTCTGTGTACAATGACAATGATTTTCCAGAGAGAGAGACGGGAAGAGACAGCGAGACACAACAGCAGGAAAACACAAAGAAGAGAGATTGTGTGTTTTGGGCCGTGGAGAGAATAAAGGCAGGAGGACTGTGATTCATGACCTGTGTTCAAAAGTGATATCATGTATCACAGAAGAATGTTCCTCACGGATGAATGGTGAAACCTCAGAGGAGGAGGAGCAAAAGAGCCACAGTTATTTTCACCGGTAAGGTTTCAGTCATTGATGTACATTAGGGGTGTGGCCAATGCTGGTGGGTGTGGCTAATCGGAAAGGGTGTGGCTAGCTGTGTGTAGCTTCTGAGTTTTTCCTATTTCATTTTTCCCATTCAAAATGTAGCTGTATTATTCTAGATATTTTACTAATGACTGAATTTAGGTTAAAATGTCTATATAATTTTTGATATATTATTAAATATTATTTTTTAAATAAATGATAAATGTAAAAATATTATTTACTTATTTATATTACCCAAATAAATAAATAAATAAGCAAGCTCTCGACCAGGTGAATCAAGACAATTAAAAAATGATAATTAAAAGAATATATATATTTAAAAAAATTTAATACATAAAATAGATAGATTGACAGATAGTATTATAAATATTATTATTATTTTATTATACATATTAATTTATATTTATAGTATTTATAATATATATTTACATATAAAATATGTACTTTATTTAAAAGAAAAATATAAATTAAATAATTAACTCGTGGTTGATGTCGTCTAGATCGTTAGATGTTTGATTTGTGTAATACTGAGGCTGTTTCATTGTGTCTTGTGTCTCAGCTGGTCTGAACAACACACACTGAAACAGATTTTCTTCTGAATCACTCTCAGTACTGATGTTTACCCATGCACTAATAATAATGAGTGTTTCGGCTCATTGAGTTCAGATATAAGTTTGGTAAACATGCAGATCTCTGTCATCCCAGTCATTAGTCTGGTCCTTGAATCTAAACATATCTCACGGGTGGGTGAGCTCTGACATCATGCTTTACACACGGAGAGGAAGAGTTCACCCAAAAATACCCTCATGATGCTCCAACCCTGCATTATGTTCTTTCTCCTGTGAAACACAAAGGGAGATGCTAGGCAACATGTCCTTAGGCAGCAACATCCTTGAGCTATATTTGAGGCATATGATGGCATTATATTAATTCACCAATAATTTCCCCATCGGCTGTGGTTCTAATATGTCATTCATACTTATTTGCAGTTAAAAATTGTATTTTTAAAACTACTGTATGGCTTCAGAATAGTTGACAAATAGTGAAAATATGATCGATAAATCATGGATATTCCAAATAACATGCATTTGTGTTTGACAGAAGAATGCAAATGAGGGAGCAGGTTTGTAATGGAACATGAACTACAGTGCATCTGCTTACATTATTAGCCTCTCAAAGTCTAAACCAGAGCAATGCTACCACTACAGAGACTAATACTGTCAGATATTAATAATAATATATTATTGGTTTACCATTGTGAGCAATTATGAAGGAGGGGCTACAAAAAAAGGGCTCAACAAAATTAAAAATATTTTTACTTGGCCTGCCAACATTTTCAATAGCTCCAAATATATTTGTATAAACATGAAATATATTTGCAAATATAAAATACGTATAAATAAGTATTATAATATTTTAAATATAAATTTAATAGTAAAAAATAAAATTAAAATGAAATAAAATGTTATCAGAAAACATTGTTTACAATTATAGACAGACATATATTTTGTAAACAAACACTTTTATTTTGGATGCGATTAATCGCGATTAATCGTTTGACAGCACTAGTAAATACTGAGTGCAATAATGTGTGTCGTGCTCACATCGATAAAGTATACAGGAGAGAGAGAGAGAGAGCGAGAGAAAGAGAGAGAGAGAGAGTTTCTCCAGTATGGCGAGATTACACCGAGTCGGTCTGTCGTTACACCGGAGATCTCGTGAATGAATCGTGATTCAACTGCACTGAGAATATAATACGCGATTAATCGTTTGACAGCACTAGTAAATACTGAGTGCAATAATGTGTGTCGTGCTCACATCGATAAAGTATACAGGAGAGAGAGAGAGAGAGAGCGAGAGAAAGAGAGAGAGAGAAAGAGAGAGAGAGTTTCTCCAGTATGGCGAGATTACACCGAGTCGGTCTGTCGTTACACCGGAGATCTCGTGAATGAATCGTGATTCAACTGCACTGAGAATATAATGAGAACTCAGAGGCTGAGATGAGAGTCTGATGCTGGAGGGTTTTAACGGGATCCGAGCGGCGGAAACTCGCTCCGGTGAGTCAAAACCGAACTTCTGCTCTTTACTTCACTAAACCTCCATCAAACACACAACTACAAACCAAAACCCCGAATTACACACGACAACACGACGCTTTAAATGATAACCTAACACTATAAACTGTAAGAACGTACTCACATCTGAATGAGGTGAAGATGGAGTTAATGTTTGACAACATGGCTGCTCGCTTTCATCTCTTCATTCCTCTAATTTACAGAAATTAAGTCTTAATCCTTGTTAATTTCTATATAGCATAGCCTACACATATAGATTTCGGGGTTACTTCTATGTGGATTGAGCAAACGCGTCTGTTCTGCAGTTGAAACAGTTTCCGTTCCCCGAAAACAACCAACACGAAACATCCCGAAACGTCTTACTGAACATCAGAGGTTCATAAGAGATGTCAGCTCTTCGTGTGTGTTTCCGCAGGAAGTCAGAAAGAGAAACTCAAACACGATAGTAAAATGCATTGACAAAAATACCATGTTTTTGAACATGGACCATCTCTTTAAAGTAGTAGCCTACTTTGGAATAGTTACATCGTTTACAAGAAAGTGCTATTGTAGTACCACCATACAGTGATCGAATCACCACAGTACTTTATGGTACTGAAATTCATGTACCATGGTATTTATTTACATGGTGCTATTTCAGTGTATTTCCAAAAATACCATTATGCCATGTCCAAAAACATGGTGGTTCTATGGTACTGATGTACTGTATATGCTCATTTAATCCCATGGTATGGCCATGGTAGTTTTTGTAAGAATGAGGTCAATTAATAATTTGTGTTGTTTTCTGTTTGGCTGATCTGACATTGAACTTTGAGTTCTAGATTAGTAATTAAGCCACTTCATTAATAAACAGTGACATTTTATAGCCTATACTTATAGAAAAGCACTTATAGAAAAGTAGCGTACTATGGTGGTGTGTACCATAGTACTAAATTGTTACTATTATGTTATGTGGTACTTGGGAGGAAACAGTGCTGCTACCATAATGCTGGTGTCCGAAATACCATGGTACTTTTTTAAGGGGCTGTAACTTGTGCTCTAGTGAGACATGATCCAAGACAGAGCAACTTATCAAATTATAAAGGAAGATTATGAGAACAGACAAGTGTTTTTCTCTGGAATAGGACACAGTAAGACCAGAAAAAGAAGTCAAAACTGATGTGATTATCTGTGATTTTGCAAGATCATATTTGAGCATGTTCGTACCAGACCAGAAAGAGCTGAAGTCATCACCAAGGCAAAAATAACCACGAGAGTGTCTTCATGCCAGTCAGTACTTTTGTATGTGTGTATGAGTGTGTGTGCCCGAGTGAATGGGGCCCCTGCAGCTCGCTGTGCTTTGGCTTCTTAAAACAAAGTGTTTGAAATCCTTTTATTCAAGTGACCTGGGTAGAAGCTCCCTTACAGACACACACACGCACGCACACACACACACACACACACACACACACAGACACACAGACACACAGAGAGGTTGACCGAGGTTTGAGAACAGGAATCTTTGGAATGCTTGTCCCCCTTGTTGGATTTTCTGCCTACCTGCACACACACACACACACACACACACACACACACACACACACACACACACACTCACACTCTCTTACAGTGGCATTCAGACAGACTGATGGCCTTTTCCAGAATTAGGACGTCATAAAATAATCATACGAACTGGCAGACCCTAAAAGGTGTGTGTTCATATATTGATTGTGACATCATTGTTCAGTCTGCAGAACATCTAAAACTTTTAAAGGGGCAGTTCTGCCAAAAATGAAAATCCTGTCCTCATTTAGGGTATGTTTACTGGACAATGATTTGCTACTACGGAACTGAAAGGTTTTTATTAGAATCTTTTTGAGATGACAGTGTTGTCAAAACAATCCCTAGCTCACACTGATCCATGCAAAAGATGAAAACACTGTATTATGCAAGCCAGGCCAGTAGTTGGCAATGTCACTTTATAAAGAAGCTCGCGCATGAACACGTAATGTGCGTGATTTTAGGGTATTCAACCATTTGCATTTTTATAGTTTACATGGAGATGATAATCTTATTGTTTTCCAAACCATACCATTTGAAACCCCTTTTCAAAAGTTTGCATTTTCAGGCCCCTAAAACCCCATTGTCATGTAAATTGTTGCATAAAAAGTTTTCAGTTTATACTTGAAAACAGTGTCTTTTAAACTGACCCTCAGTTGTTCCAAATTTTTTTCTTTCTGGTTGCCATTGAGTTCCATAGTTTTTTTCCCAAGCTATGTAAGTCAGTGGCTACTGACAACTGTTTGCTTATCTACGTTCTTTAATTAAATATTATGTTTTGCATTCAACAGAAGAGAGAAATTCATACTGGTTTGGAACAACATAAGGGTGAGTAAATTATGATAAATGTTTCATTTTTTGGGTGAACTATGCCTTTAACACATTGCTGAAATGTTACTAGGTTGAATCAGTGGAGGTTTAATCCAGATGCACCTGTTTATGACCTCATCAGAAAAAAAAATGGTTGGCCTTTATTTATGCTTAAGTTAATTTTTTCATGATGATGATGTTGGCTTCCATTGTGTGCTTTTTATAGTGTGCTTGGTTCTGGAAGCATATTATCCATTTATTTTCTTCATAAATGGAGAAATTATTATCCATTTATAATTTATTTTCTTCTTATTTCAAATCATTCTTAAAAACACTTAAACTAAACCAAACAGCTCAGAGGGAAGGATGTAAAGTCATGAGTATAAAACAATATAAAAATCTTAATGGCTAAATATTGAAAATAATATGTATGTTATTAATATATACGTATATATATATATATATGTATGTGTGTGTGTATATATATATATATGTATATGTGTAAACAAAAACTTACATTATATATGTGTGTACTGTTTATATTTAATATATATATATATATATATATATATATATATATAAAAATACACACATGCTTGTATATATTTCAGAAAAATATGTTATGTTTGTATATTAAATATATTTATATATAATATAAATTATATGAATATAAATATATACATGTAAATATTTTCAAAATATATACTGTATGTATGTGTATTTATACATAATAAATATACACAGTACACACATATATTATGTAAACAAAAACATTTATTCTGGATGCGATTAATCTAAATTTTTATATATATTTATATTTGTGTCTGTGTGTATATGTGATCTTATTTTTGTTGTTTTGATATTTTTTGGTGTGAAATTGCTGCAAAAATTATGTTTATTTCATATAAATAATCACGGATGGCACCAGTAGTAACCAAAAAAAATCGACGTCTTATTCTTATCTTTTGAGTTTGTGGTGAAATAGAGCCGGATGTGTTTTTGACAGCTTTCATTTGTTACCCTGCATTTCAGTGTGTTTATCTTCCAGGGCTTTCGGCTTTATTTGTCTCTGTACGAAATGCAAATAGAGCTGATGCCAGTCCTGTGAAACACAAACACACACAATCTCTCCTGTGCTCCGTCACGTCTCTCTCAATGGATGTGACGTCTGAGTTTGATCTTAATTTTGTGCACAAGGACATTGAGCCGCATGAGAGTAAGACGCTGACGGAGAACAGAGGAGCTTCTGAAAGGCAGATGAGGGCCGCTGTCTGCGGGTGTCAACTCAAAAGAAATATCTTCAGATGATTAATTAAGACAGTTATTAGATGCTATATATACATGCAGTATTTAAGCACACATGCTGTGTAAACAGGCAGATGGAGCTGTCAGTTGTGGTCGTCATAGCAAATGTTACTGTGGTAAATGTTTCCATAACACACAGTCATACAGCGCTGCTACTGTAGAGACTTTCAGACTAGCTGATGAATGAATCATTTTTATCATGATGCCACACAGTTATTCTGACAGGTGGAAACCTGTTTCAGGCTGGTTGACAATGTCGGGAGGGTGCTTGAGTTCTTGCAATCCAATGTTTTATTGATTATGTAAATGTGTTTTATTGCTTAAACCATTTAGTGTGCTGTGATACTTCAACATTACTATAGTCATCTGAAGTTTGTCTGAAATTTGTCACCAGTGTAACGTTATCTAGCTGCTAGATGAGGTTTTGTTGAAATTGCAAAACTTCTTGTGAAAGTCTTGCCAGCATCAGTTAAGATGGTTTGATCATAAACAAATCAGTAATGTTTTGCAACATGGCCTTTACACTATCCTGTTATTATTGCAATTGTAAACAATATAATGTATTCTAATTTTATATAATTTTTTAATATTATAAAACACATGTTTTTGTATATGTGTGTATAATATTATACTATTATTACTTAAACTATTACTAATTTTTACATTTTTTATACACACACACATACACACACACGCTTTCCATTGATGTGTGGTTTGTTAGGATTGGACAATATTTGGCCGAGATACAACTATTTGAAAATCTGGAATCTGAGGGTGCAAAAAAATCTAAATATTGAGAAAATCGCCTTTAAAGTTATCCAAATGAAGTTCTTAGCAATGCATTTTACTAATCAAAAATTAAGTTTTGATATAGTTACGGTAGGAAATTTACAAAATATCTTCATGGAACATGATCTTTATTTAATATCCTAATGATTTTTGGCATAAAAGAAAAATCTATAATTTTGACCAATACAATGTTTTTTTTGGCTATTGCTACAAATACACCCCAGCGACTCAAGACTGGTTTTGTGCTCCAGGGTCACACATCATTTCTAATTGTTTACATAATTTTTAATTGTTAATATGCACATTTATATCATTCAAACATGTATGTATCGATTACAAAATATATGTATATATTATAATTGTATATAATTTTTTATTATGTGTGTGTATAAGCAGTAATATGTATTTTAATTGTATTATATTAAATGACATTTTAAATATTACAAACATAATTGTATGATATATTTAGAATATATTAAAAGTATATGTAGAATATAATTTATATTATGTTATATATTATATTTATTTGATTTGATTAATTATATTATATTACATTTGTTTGAAATATTTTCAGCATATTTTTTTATACAAATAAGGGAATGTGTTGCTATAATATCATTTTGTGTGTGTGTGTGTGTTGGCTCTATTAAAAATGTTGGCATGTCAAGTAAAAAACATTTTTGTTGAGCTTTGGACTGTAGCTGTTGTTTCATAGCTGCTCACAGCAGTGAACCAATAATATCTGGCAGTGTTATTAATAACTGGCTGTAATATTAATATCTGACAGCATTAGGCAGTGTGAGTATAGCAGCAGCATTCTGTTCTGTTCGGAGCGGCCGTGATGTCTGAAGTCAATGAGCGGCTCTGCTCTGGGTTTGGGTCTGAACTGAATGCAGGTATGAATGGAGGTTCCAGAATGAACTGCATCAGCACAGGCTAAAATCTCCCTGACCACACACACACACGCCTCATATGGTGCCTTTACATAATTGTTTTCCACTTATGGTGTGTGAGTGAAAGGTCATGTGTTTGGGCGGCTGACAGGAATAGTAAACTCACTGCCGCCCGTCTGTGTGACTCCTCCTCTACTTCCACTTTGAGGGTGTTTGTGTTTGTGCAGAGACTGTGTGTTTGAATTAATTGTGAACCCCAGCAGCAGTTTAATATGAAATGATGCTGCTGTTGTGTGTTGATGATCATGATAAAGAATTATAAATGCATTGGAGAAATGGAGGGTGTTGATGCATCAGCTGTCATTATGGTGGGTTTCTTCACCTCAGCCCATTTCTCTTGAGAACTGTGTGCTGTTTGTGGATTCATGCTTCGATTGTCAGTTTAGTCATTTGTCTGAAAATAGAAACAGAATCAGCTCATTCCTGTATCTTATGCATGGCAACACCTGTTTGATTCCCACTGAACGCATCAACTGTTAAAATGGATCGCAAAGTTACTTTAGATAAAATAGCCTGCATGTTACATACGTGTATATATATTCACAAGTTCGCCTGCCCATTCAGCCCTGCCAGATAATGTTAAACGAACTTGGCTTGCTGTCCGCGAAGGAGGCTCGAGCTCTGAGTAATTTGACCTTACCCCCCTATGATGGTAAGTCGTGGAGGAAAAAGAGAAGAATTTATAGGAGGTGAAGGGGTGGTGGAGGGTTGCCGGAAGAATTGTCGCTGGAACAGACCAATGACTGCTGCTTATATGCGGTGATTGACAGGACTGGATGATTAGGCTCCTCCCGTATATATATTATATATTTAATATATATATATATATATATATATATTTATATATATATATATATTTATATATAAAATATTTATTTTAATTGTATTTTCAGTATAATTTTCTGATATGAAAAGGGACAAGGTATTAAAATATTTATATATATTTTTGTGTTGTGCTAATTAAAGCGATTGTTCACTCAAAAATGAAAATTGCATATGCAAGTGCCCCTATTATGGGTAATGAAAGGTTCATATTTTGGTTTTGGGAGTCCCCAACAACAGGTTGACATGCATGCAAGGTCAAAAACACTTTCATTGTCTTATAATATGAATTTATTTTTACCTTACTTGCTCAACAACTCCCAAATGATTCGCTCAACGATTCATTTTTCCAAACCCCTCCTTTGCATGATGCTAATCTGCAGTGATTGGTCCGATTGGTCTCATTTTCATTTAATCATGCCTGATCAAGCAGCGTTTGTGAGCACAGTGCTGCTTTGTGTACAGCGTTACCGGGGAAACAGCTGTTTTACCCAAAAGCAGCACCTAGTGGCAAAGAATGAATTTGCATTTTCATTCAGACCAAAGCGAAAAGACCAACAAGTGGGCGGGCAATATGCTAATGTTTCATGTTGCGGTCAACATGAAACGGCTTGGAATTCGTTTTAAAAACGACTCGTTTCAATGATTCAGAGTCGACTTTCTTTTGAGAGACAATAACTTTATACACGGTGCACTTTCCGATTTAAATCTTTGCAGGATGTTTTCATTCACTTAGAGCTGTGTTACACACTGCATGAAAGGTCATTTTCAAAAATCCATAATAGGGGCACTTTAAATCTAATATTGTATCTTTGGTCATTGAAAACATTTCAGTTGCCAGGATTTTTCAGTTTTGACCCCATCCAGATGATTCATCTTGCTCTCTGTAATATTTTAAATAATTAAAATATTAAATAAATATTAAATTCATGTAATGTAAAAGTCATAGCAATAGTTAAATACATGTATTTTTTGTTATATTTTCATTTAATTTTATATTTATGTGCAATTTTTTCCTCTCATTTTTATTTGTCTTTTTTTTTGTGGCAAAGAATCATTACTTATACAACAAACATTTTAGGGGGAAAAAAATCTAGTACGTTTTTTTTTTTCCAAAAAAGTTTATTTGGTTATAGTTTGGTTAAGATCAGAATTTTTATTTAATTTGTAGATTTTTACAACCCCTGGCAAAAATTATGGAATCACCACACACCACAAGATGTTCACCCAAAGTTTAGACTTTATAACAAATAAACAAATCACAGATATGACACAAAACTATTTTTACTTGATAATTCAAATACCTCAAACAAATTTAATTAAAACATTTTAATTAATGGAAAATTGCTTTACATATCAAGTAGAGGACAATATTATGGAATTATTCAATGTTGAGGAAAAAAAATATGGAATCAGCTTGTAATTTGCATCTCTGAAATAAATACCGGCACATATCTAAAATGCTAATTAGTCAGCAGTTAAAAGAGAGTGCTTCCAGACCTTAACGAGCTGTTGGACTTGGCAAATTGAAAGGAAACATGGCCCCAACAAGAGAGCTGTCTGTTGAAACAATGGAAAGGATTCTAAAACTCCTTCAAGAAGGAAATCCATAACAGAGTGCGGCAAAAGAAGTTGGATGTTCCCAGTCAGCTGTTTCTAAAATTTGGTGCAAGTATAAACAAAATATGGAAGGGTTACAAAAGGAAAACATACAGGAAGACCAAAGAAGGGATAGAAAACTCAAAGCAATTTGCCTTGAAAATAGAAAATGCACAATGAAACAAATGGAAAAACAAATGGGCGAAAACAGGAGTCAAACTGTAAGAAACCGGCTGAATGAAATGGGATTTAAATAGAGAAAAGCCAAACGAAAAACCAGCATTAACACCTAAACAGAAGAGAAGCAGTCATGGAGTGTGGATGATTGGATGAAAGTGATATTCAGTGATGAATCACGAATCTGCATTGGACAAGGAGATGATGCTGGAACTTTTGTCTGGTGCCGTTCTTTCGTTCTGCCTGAAGAAAACAACCAAATTTCCCAACTCATTTATGGTATGGGGTTGCAGCATGTCAGGTAAAGGACCAGGGGAAATGGCAATCCTTACCTCAACAGTCAATGCACAAATGTACATTGAAATTTTGGACACTTTTCTCATTCCATCAATAGAAAAGACGTTTGGTGATAATGATGTAATTTTTCAGGATGATAATGCATCTTGCCACAGAGCAAAGAGTGTTGAAGCTTTTCTTCAGGAAAGGGATATTAACTCAATGACATGGCCAGCAAACAATCCGGATCTCAATCCGATTGAAATTGAAAAAACTGCTCCATGAAAAGACTCCATCTTGCAAAGCTGATCTGTCAACCGTTATTGGAACCAGCTTGAGGAAGAATATTGTTTTTCATTAGAGAAGTCCATGCCCCAAAGAATTCAGGCCGTCATAAAAGCAAGCGGAGGAGCAAAAAAGTACTAACTGTGTGTTTTGGTAGATGATTCCATGATTTTTTCCCTCAACATTGAATGATTCCATTTTTTTTCTCTACTTTATATGGAAAACAAATTTTCATTAATTAAAAGAGTTTAATATCTTTTTTTTTTTTAGGTATGTTTCAAATAACCAGAATGTTGAATTATTAAGCAAAAATGGTTTTGTGTGATATCTGTGATTCGTTTATTTGTTATGAAGTAAAAATTTTGGGTAAACAATATCTAAGTGTGATTCCATAATTTTTGCCAGGGGTTGTAGATCATGATCATATAATCTGCTAATGTAATGGACCATTACTGTGAACTAAAGGCACTGGAATATGGAATTCTTTGATTATACGCTTTAAAGTCAGCATGAAACGGAAGTTGCGGTTGTCTTTTCTTCTCTACTGTGACGTATGTCCGAGTGAAACGGCATCTGAAATGAGAGGGCGGGACTTGAGTTCGTCCTTCGGGAATTGATTGGATCGTTGGAAGTTGGGGCGTTACTAACAAAATGGAGGCAGATCTGAATGCCAGTTTGCAGTTAGTGTTGGGGGATTTCTCTCCACTGGATTCACAGCCAACACCCAAGCATGAATAAATGTTTTATTTATTAAGGATGACGATGACGATCAATGGCACAAAACATGCGTAAACAGCGCACGCGAGAGAGAGAGAGAGAGACTGCTTGAATGACTGAGCGCGTCCTCCATCAGGTTAAGTCATATTCATGAAAAAAAATTAGTTTGCGATATCCTAAGAGTAATGTTGTCGTAATATCCTAATATCTTTTCAATGTTTAGGGGTAACGTACTCCCTCATGACTGGTGTCAGTGCTATAAAGTGACGCATCCGCTTCAGCTTTTCCCCTGTGGTTTATCCCAGCGTTTACCCCTCACCTCACTAGCTCCGCCCTTGCGCCATAGCTCGTGACCGGAAGAGAAGATGAGTCGTTTTGAGGGGGAGGGGAGGTTAACGTTTTTGATTAAAGATTATGAGGGCACATGAATTAAAAAAAATAATAATGAAGTGCACAGATAAATTATTTATAATAAACACTACAGTATTTCATTAAAAAAATAAGAATTTTCAATTTTGATTTCATGGTGACTAATATTTATTGAAAGAGAAACTAAATGAGTTTTGAATGGAGTGATGCTGCATTTATCCGTCCATGTAACTGAAGAAATCTTGTGCCTCAGTGGCAGGAGCAGATGTGATTGACAGACTGAGGTGTGAATGATCAGGATGATTGAGCAGTGTGGGAATCAGAGATGTGCTGCTGGACTGTGCCTGTGATGAATGTGTGATTAATCTGTGATTAAGTGAACAAACGTCTGATCATCTCACTTTCTTTCTGTTTTCAGGCCTCTTGATGCTCTCACCTGACTGACTTCCAGCCGAGATCAGGTAACCGATGACAGGTGTTTCCTCTTAATTAACTTGTACTTCTGCATTTCATGTTTCAGTTGCATTTCAGCATTTAATGTGTGCACTATTCTTTCTGTTTATGAAAGAAGTCTCGTGCTCACCAAGGCTGCATTTATTTGATCAAAATACAGTAAAAACAGTAATATTTTTTACAATTTAAAATAACCAAGTTCTATTGTAATATATTTTAAAATGTAATTTATTCCTGTGATGCAAAGCTGAATTTTCAGCATCATTACTCCAGTCTTCAGTGTCACATGATCCTACAGAAATCATTCTGATATGTTGATTTGCTGCTCAAGAAACATTTCTGATTATTATCAATGTTGAAAACAGTTGTGCTGCTTAATAATTAGAAGTCATGATTTTCATTGAAATCATTAAATGTCTTTATTGTCACTTTTGATCAATTTAATGCATCCTTACTGAGTTAAAGTACGTAAAACTCAAATCTTACTGACCCCAAACTTTTGACCCTTTCGTACCTCATTTCTTCATTAAAGATCATTGTGATTAAAAGCGTTTAAGGAAGTTTCAGTCCTTAGCTGCAGTCGGTGTGTTGGGGATTTTTAGCGTGTCTGTGTGATGAGTGTTAATGTGAGTTCAGGACACTGGAATGTTTTAGCAGTGAGGTGCTGCGCGTTTGAGAAATTATTCTCACTTATTTGTGAGGTTGTGCAGAATCTCATGAAGTTCAAATAAAAGGATTTTAAGGCAATGAGGACAAAATGACCATGTCATTGAGTTGAAGAAGACCGTGAACGAATAACAGAATGAGTTCATCCCGAGTGTTTGGATGTCAGTTTTAGTGGAGTTGTGTTAAACGTAGCTGTTGTGAGTGTTTGTACCTCTGTGTCCCAGGGGATTATGGGTAAGTCTCACCGGAGACCCTCAAATCCCTGCAGGAATGTGTGTACACATGCTTCAGTGCTTTGCAGTAAGTAGAGAGAGATTCAGTTCTGTTCTTTATTAAGATGTAACTGTTTGGGAAATTCACTTGTGTGTCAGCTGTCAATGAGTGTCACAAAAAGTCACCGTTAACAGGTTTTTGGCACATCTGGTTGCTAGGTTGTTCTAGGTTGCTACCTGCTAGGTAACTATATAACTCTTCAAGTTTTTCCTAATTGTTAAGAGGGTTGAAATCTTACATTTGCCAGAATTTCTCAGTTTTGACTTTTCTTCCCCCTCCATATTTCTGAACTTATTAAATTTTTTTCACATTATGCAAAAATTCATTCATTCATTCATTTATTATATTATTTACAGTACAAGAAGAAAATCCATCACAATCACATTTCATTACCATCATGAATATATGGTTTAAAAAAACATTTACACATTATTAAAAAATTCATGTCTTTCTTTCTTTCTTTCTTTCTTTCTTTCTTTCTTTCTAGTTACAATACCATCCCTCACATTTCTTTACCGTCATGCATGGTTTTAAAAAAACACATTGCTACACATTATGCAGAACTACAGGTCTTTATTTATTTATTTTAGTAACAACACAAGAAAAAAAGTGCTATTACCATCACATTTTATTACCATAATGCTTGTGTTTTTTTTTATTTCAATACAAGAAATTGCCATTAATGTGACAGTTTTATGTTTGTGAAACAGTCTGAAGATGCTTCATTCTTTTAAAGATATTTATTTCAAAAGCTCAAAAGTGCCTCTAATTAAATAATCACCCGTCTATGTTTCATTTCTCTCTGTGTGTCTCTAGGATGATAGAGGAGAGACGGAAGGGGAATGTCATGGCCGACGGGAAGCAGATCTTCACAGACATGAGTGAGTGCCGCCCACCACATGACCTTTGACCCACAATGCACATTCATAAACTGGTGCATCTGAGTATAAATGTGCAACTTTGATTCTTCAGAGACGCAGAATTATGACACCATCCGCCTGTCCACGTACCGCACCGCCTGCAAGCTCAGTTTCATTCAGAAGAAATGCAACCGTGAGTAGCACTTTAAATCAACTGAAACAGACTAATCTTGAAAAAGATGCAGATTGTTTGCAAATTCAAAACAAAGCTCAGCATGAATGAACTCTACTTTGTATAATAAGTGTGAAACATAGGCCAGAAATACACTGGTGTTTAAAAGTTTGGGGCCAGTAAGATTAGTTTTTTTCTTAGAAATTAATACTTTTATTTATCAATGACACATTTAATTGATCGAAAGTGACGGTAAAGACATTTATAATTTTACAAAAGATTTCTATTTCAAACAAATACTGTTCTTTTCATTTTCAGATTCATCAAATAAGCAAAGAAAATCATGGTTTCCAAAACTATTTTAGTCAGTTTTCAACATTGCTAATAATCAGAAATGTTTCTTGAGAAACAAATCAGCATATTAGAATGATTTCTGTAGAATCATGTGACGCTGAAGACTGGAATAATGATGCTCAAAATTCAGCTTTAATTCACAGGAATAAATTACGTTTTAAAATATATTACAATAGAAATAAGCTATTTTACGTTGTAATAATATTTCACTGTTTTTACAGTATTTTTGATCAAATAAATGCAGCCTTGTTGAGCATGAGAGTCTTCTTTTAAAAAAATTACTGACTCCAAACTTTTTAAAAGGTAATGGACATTAACAGAGGGTTAAAAATGACATTCAAGTTAGAAAATTAGTTTTTCATGTTACGTGTTTATTTTGATCATATTTAGAGTAATCTGGACTGACATAGTAAGTATTTCTCTGACATAATTCCCTATATTTTATGTGTTTTCTCTCTCAGTGCATCTGGTGGACGTGTGGAACATGATCGAGGCGTTTCGTGACAACGGTCTGAACACGCTGGACGTCTGTACTGAGATCAGCATGGCTCGGATGGAGACCATCATCACCTGCATCTACCAGCAGCTAAACAAACGGCTGCCCACCACACACCAGATCAACGTCCAGCACAACACCAGCCTGCTGCTCAACTTCATGGTGACGGCACACGACAGGTGTGTGTGTGTGTGTTCTGGTCTCGTGTTGTGTTTGTGAAAGTTAGGGGTAAATTCAGATTTGTTTAAAGAAATTAATATTTTTAATTAGCAAGCATGCATTAAATTGATCCAAAGCGACAGTAAAAACATTTATAATGTTACAAAAGGTTTCTATTTCAAATAAATGCCATTCTTTTGAACTTTCTATTCATTGTTCTGAAAAAACGGCAAATTTCACAAAAATATGAAGCAGCACAACTCTTTTTAACATCGATAATGTGAAGAAATGTTTCTTGAACATCAGCATCAGTTGATTTGACGGTGTAACTGTGTGTTTTGCAGTGATGCTCAGGGAAGGCTGACGGTGTTTTCTGTGAAAGTGATGCTCTCGGTGCTGTGTGGAGGGAAACTGGTTGATAAACTTCGCTGTAAGTTCATGCATCGATTTCAGCAGTGACGCCTACTAGTGGACAAATCAAATCAAGTCACCTTTATTTATTTGGCGCTTGTTTTCTAGGTGTATTAGGAATGGGATGATCTCAAAAATGTGTTGATGTTTGTTGACGTCATATGTCTGATGTGAGGATTGGCTATGCTGTGGTTTAATTGTGCTGACTTTGCATTTGTTTGAGTGTAGTGGAGGTCATGGGACCGAAACTTTTTTGCAAGTTGGAGTAGTGAAAATAATAGAATCAGTTATGCAAACGTCTTCAAACATAAGACAAATTCAAATTCTGCTGTAAAGCAGCTCTAAAAAGACAATCGGTGTATCCAAAATCACATTCTGTCTAAATAGGTTCTACATTTGAATTTGAACTTGCTTTGCAACCATTAAAAAAAGTATGTTCTATATAGTATGAATATGGGGAGAATGAATGAATGTATGAATGTTGTTACTGTCACATGACCTATCTGCGTCAGTTGCGTTGCTTCACTGCCAATCATAAATCCTCTCCGTGGCCTCATGGGATAGTAAAGTGTCATCGAATTTAGACGTACTACGCTTTTGGCATACTTTTTTTTTACCTACTATATAGTAAGGAAGTATTTGTTTTCAGATACAGGGAATATCTTTATTCAGTTCAGTGTACAGTTCATCAGTTATAATATTGATATGCATATCATTGCTCATGAACATGTTCTGTGGCCGATGTAACGAGTGTGTTTGTGTGTGTGTGTTAGATATTTTCTCTCAGATATCTGATACTCATGGTGCGATGGTGATGTCCAAGTTTGACCACTTCCTGCGGGAGGCGCTGAAGCTGCCCACTGTCGTATTTGAGGGGCCGTCGTTTGGCTACATGGATCACTTCGCCAGATCCTGCTTTCCTCAACAAGTAACAATTCCACATTTCTTCTCTTCTTTTCAAATTTTCTTTTCAAACAATTCCAAATTGTGTTGTTAGTGGTGTTTGCATAAACCTGACTATTATTGCTCGTAGATTGGGTTAGTGATCTGAACATTGAGTGTTAGACTGTGTGACTGATCATTTGTGCTACAGAAGTAATAATGAAGTAATAATACTTCAAATCATGCAATCGAAAAAGTTTTAACCTGGTGCGGAGTTCTCAGTTATGGAAAAATCATAATCACAATTATTTTGAGAGATCACACAATCGTTTAACACAATTGTTCATTGATCTTGCTATTGTTCAATTTTTTGTTATTGCCTTTTTAACAGTGGGTTTAATTGAACTTGAAATTGAACTTCAAGTATCAAGTAACTTGAACAAGTATGGTTGAACTGAAAAAACAATTTTGAAAAATGTATAAAAATTAGATTAAAAATATATTAAACACGAGCCCTAAATGCTCAGAATACCTTAGCAACCACATAGCAACATCCTATGTGTAAATGTGCAAAAGTTCTGTCATGGATGTATATTTGAGTCTGTGTGTGTGTGTGTGTGTGTGTTTAACAGAAGAAGGTGATGCTGAACATGTTTCTGGATACTCTGATGTTAGATTCTCCTCCTCAGTGTCTCATTTGGCTCCCTGTGCTGCATCGGCTGGCAAACGTGGAGAACGGTAACACACTGAATATTATATGCTTAATTATTCATATTACTCACACTTATTTATGCTGCCGTGACAAAGCTAGAATTTTTACAAGTCTCCAATATCATGAACATTAATTCTCTAGTTTAATATTCGTATATTCCAGCACAATGAATCTCTCTGTTTGTCAGTCTATCACCCGGTGGCGTGTTCGTTCTGTCGGTCGGAGGGCATGATGGGATTTCGTTACCGCTGTCAGCAGTGTTTTAACTATCAGCTGTGTCAGAACTGTTTCTGGCGAGGTCATGCGAGTGGAAACCACAACAACCAGCACGAGATGAAGGAGCATTCGTCCTGGGTGAGGATCAGCTACAGTGCTCATCTCATATTTTTTTATTTATATGTATGTATATATATGACTGTGATTTAAACTAGTTTAAAGCCAAACAGGAAAAACACTGTGTGCATCGAGACAGTCAGAAGGCTTTTCAATCTACACATCGCTATCATTTACCATGGATTTACTGTAGTAACACTCACTGCACCATGGTATTGTGGCAGAAATGTGGGATGGTATATAATTATAGTATGTATTTGTGATTAAGCTATAGCGTGTGCATTTATACTGAATATTTTGAGACTACTGTTTTTCATACAAATAGGCTACTTAAAAACCATATAGTTATATTTTTACCATGGGATTGAGGTGCTACTTGTGTGGCTTTAACTGTGTTTATCATGATTTAAATGTATGCTACTATGGGAGACCAATGCTTAATTAAAAAAAAAAAAAAAACTTGGTCAGAATAAATTTAACCGTATATAACTGTGGTTGCTACAATTTTTACAGATGTTACTGATTTTGATAATGAACAAATATTTACCTCTGCTTCCTAACTCAAACTACTATCAAATGTGCATTTCTAAGAGACAAAAAAAGTGATATTATTAATATTATCAGGCAACCCAAACCTGTTTCTTGATTTGATACAATACCACATTAGAACATGCTGAAACTAAGAAATTATTATTTTTATTTAGATATTTATTAATGGTCTGGTTTCCACAACTTTCACTTTGGAGCAAAAATCTGACTTTAAACTTGAAAGAAATAAAGATTTGACATGTATCGTGCTAATTATCGATATCGACTGATATGAAAAAAATTATCGTGATAATTTTTTTGGCGATATCGCCCAGCCCTAAGTCCACGTATAATGTTATTGTTTGCACTAAAAACAGTCATAAATTAGTTTTTCATGTCACTTTCCACCATCTAGGAACATGGAAATCCAAGAAATATAAAGGTTTTTTTTTTTTAGTTGTGGGAATTAATAAAATGATAAAAGCTTTCTTTAGCAAATTTACATTTCTACACTACCATTCAAATTTTTGGGGATCGTTAGGATTTTAAGAAAGTCTCTAATGCTCACCAAGGTTGCATTTATTTGATTAAAAAAACAACCACATTAGAACATGCAGAAACTAAGAAATTATTATTTTTATTTATATATTTATTAATGGTCTGGTTTCCACAACTTTCACTTTGGAGCAAAAATCTGACTTTAAACTTGAAAGAAATAAAGATTTGACATGTATCGTGCTAATTATCGATATCGACTGATATGAAAAAAATTATCGTGATAATTTTTTTGGCGATATCGCCCAGCCCTAAGTCCACGTATAATGTGTTTGCACTAAAAACAGTCATAAATTAGTTTTTCATGTCACTTTCCACCATCTAGGAACATGGAAAACCAAGAAATATAAAGGTTTTTTTTTTTTAGGTGTGGGAATTAATAAAATGATAAAAGCTTTCTTTAGCAAATTTACATTTCTACACTATCATTCAAATTTTTGGGGATCGTTAGGATTTAAAAAAAGTCTCTAATGCTCACCAAGGTTGCATTTATTTGATTAAAAAAACTGTAATATAGTGAAATATTATTATGATTTTAAATTTCAATATATTTCAAAATGTAATTTATTCAAAGCTGAATTTTCAGCATCATCACTCCAGTCTTCAGTGTCAAATGATCTTTCAGAAATCATTCTAATATTCTGATTTGCTGCTCTTAAAACACATTTTTATTATTATCAATGTTGCAAATATTTGTGCTGCTTAATATGTTTATGAAAACTGCAATACATTTCTTTTTTCAGGTTTGTTTGATGAATATAATATAATATAATATAAGTTCAAAGAATATCATTTATTTGAAGTAGAAATCGTTTGTAACATAAATGTATTTACTGTCACTTTTGATCAATTTAATGCATCCTTGCTGAATAAAATAAATAATTTATTTTAAAAAATCTTACTAACCTCAAACTTTTATGGTTGTTTTAATGTTTTCATGACGCTTTTTTATTGTGCAGGCTTCCCACAGGCTGGAAAACTATTGAAATTTCTATACTAAATGTGGATTTCTTTATACAAATGGAATCTGTTACTTAATCTGAAACCGTGCAAAAAGATACAAGTGAAAGCTTTTCATGTCTTTGGAGGTTTTCAGTTTTGGTTCCTTATATTTGTGTGTGTTTGTTCCAGAAATCTCCAGCTAAGAAGTTGGGTCGTGCCATCAGTAAATCCTTGGGCTGTGTGCCGAGCAGAGAGCCGTCCCACCCCGTCTACCCAGAATACCCAGAGAAACCCCTCAACCTGTCCAATATAGTGTAAGACACTCACACACACACACACACACACACAGAGCCCTATGTCTGTGGCCATTTTGGAAGTGTTGGGAATGTTTCTATTGGTTCCCGACATCACATGATCACATTGTCTCTGTGGACACATTGATGAGGGTCAGACACGATCACTCATCAGAGACAGAGAGAGAGACAGAGAAGGAGTTTGCTTTTATTATCTGCTTACAGATGTGAGGTCAGTTATGATTTTGTCTTCATTCTGGTGTGTGTTTGTCTAGGTCTGTCTGTTTTTTCCCCAGGAATCACGCTCTGTGTCTCTCTCTCTTCTGTCTGTGTTGCTTCAGTCTCTTAGTTTTGCATGACTGACCGGTGTGTGTGTGTGTGTGTATTTGGGTCAGTTGAACAGTATAATGTTTAATTTATTCTGAATGCATGCGTGTATGTGTAAGAGAGAAATTCTGTAAGTGTCCATGAACTTTTATTAACATCAATTCAGCTTTTAGTTTAAAGTGTACGTGAGTGTATAATCACCTTTTAGTTTTTTTTAATTAAATTAAATTAAATGACAATTTTTCAAAATTATAGATATTCCCTGTCTATCAATGAATGTGAAACTGCATGAATAATAATGAAAACAATTCAAAATGTTGTTTAAAATAGTTATAGATGCATATTATCTAATATTATGATGAAATATTAAATCTTATGTTATGTTATTTTATGTTATGTATTATATATTACATAGCCCTGCATCTTGAAAAAAAAAATCTTCTGATTTGCAAAAAATATTACCTAAAAATATAAATTAAAACTTTCCGTCACATAGAGCTGTGTTTCTTTTCTTTCTTTTAAAAAACAAAACAAAATAATAATGTAAAATCCTTTTATTTAATATATATTTAATAAATATGTATGAACTTTAATGCACTTAAAATAACACAAATCAGACAAATTAACATGAGCAGTGATATGTCTGAGAATTGAACAAATATTTGTAACCTGACTTGGAAGTTATGTCTTTATGGTGTTTTTTTTTCTTCTGGTGATTAAGGGATAATACAAAACTTCACCTTACAAATGTTTGTCAAAAGCTACAAAATGCATCATATTTTGTGAGTAAGTGCATCGTGTTTAAGCAAAGCGGGCATTATTTTTGGAATCAGCACCTTAAAATTAGCAAGAAGCAAGCATTTGATTTCATTCAGTAAATATGATGCAGGGTGGTGTTGTTTTATTATAGATACCCATGTCATTGTGTTTTTCTCTAGTCCTCCCCGTCCAATAGGAAACATGAATGAACCAGTTCTGCCCCCGTCTGCAGGCCCCAGCCCCACTAAGAGGTGAGCACCTGCTCTTCATCTTTGACCTTTCAGAGGAATCAGGAAAGTGTTTTATGTGTGAGAAATTTTATTTTTGTTTCATATGTTTATCATTTCTAATATACACCGATTTCAAAATAAATATGATATATTATACATAGTATTGCGATAATACTCACATAATCACTTGTAAAATACCAAACCAAAAAAAAGTTTTTTTTGTGTGTCTTTTAATTTCCTTTCTTTCCTAATAAAGTAAATCTAGCTTATTTTTTTATAATATCAGTCATCTATTGGTTATTGACATTATAATCAATTATAAGTTTAATATCAGCAATTCCAGGGTCCAAAACTAACTTTTTACCACACCTGCTAAATCCCCGGTGAAAAATTGCCAGCCATACATTTGATTTATTTATTTATTTTTTACAGGCCTTGAAACTGTATTTACATTTTCATTAAAAACAGTTACTTCTATTACTACTACTTGGCTGAATGGTGAAGAAACTAATCTAATTGTGCTTGCAATTTTTTTTAAATGCTCTTCTACAAGAATGATTAATTCAAGAGGAAAACTGTTTAAATGTTTAATTTCACTTCTCAACAACACTGTAATATTTTATTGTTAAAAAACTGGTAGGCGTTGTTACTACTTTGCTGGGAAAAAATAAAGTTTAAAAATAAAAAAATACCTTGAAAAACATTGCATATATGGTCTTTTAAAATATAGTAGTTTTATATGGTAAGGAAATTTAATTAAAAAAAATTTACAAAATAACATGTCTTAACTTAAGCAATTGTATGTATTTTTTCCCTGTTAAAATGACTAAAATTCTACAGTAAAGCATCATTTCCAATCCATTTTTCTCTAAAATGTATTTGCAGTATAAGGTCACATCATAGTGGTTTGGCTGTAATATCACATCCTCAATGGTAAAAAAATAAGACAGTGTGTATATATAAATTTGTACAACAACACCAACTATTACTATTAAATACTTATTATTTTCATAAATATCATTTTTATTTGATGAACCTGTAAATGATGTAATTAAATTGCAGCCTTAATTTTGTTGCCTAGACGCATCCCTAATACAAATTAGGGACTAAGCAGTGTTACAGTACAGTCCTCTCATACAAAACCTGTTTGAATCTGTAATTTGCTATTTAATTTGATTTGTATGTGTAGACCACCGACTCTAGCCGCAGCTCAGCGTATGAATGAAGAACATGCTCTGATCGCAGCGTATGTGAACAAACTCCAGTGCAGCCCACGGTGAGTGTGTGTGTGTGTGTGTGTCTCCTGAGGTTATTGTAAATGTAAATGTAATAATATTTTCTGTGTGTGTTTGTAGTGCATTAGACAGTCCTACCCGAACGGATGAAGAGCACAAACTCATCGCTCGTTACGCCTCTCGTCTGGCCACGGATCCTGGACACACAGGAGTGAGTTACACACATTTCAAATTATGCTCACTACAGACATATAAGATGCCTTCTAGCATTGAAAAACACTTAAATTGACAGCTAAGCAAATGCACACAGTCATATTTCTTTATTCCTGCTGCTCTTGTGAATCACAGAGACCTTCGGACTTCAGCTACAACACCAACAAACAGCAGAGAGAACTGATCATGCAGCTGGAGAACAAGAACCGGTACTCACGCTCACAGCTGCATATGGAGATGCTTTCATGAAGATTTCCATCCAGTGGTTTTGGGTTTCAGTCTCAGTGAGTGTGTAAATGGTAATGCTGTGTGTGTTTTCAGGGAGATTTTGCAGGAGATCCAGCGTTTGCGAGCGGAGCATGAACAGGCATGTCAGCCAACTCCAGAGAGAGTCCAACAAAACCCAACCCTGCTGGCAGAACTCAGACAGCTCAGGTACCCCTCACACACACACACACACACACACACACATTGAGTTTTTGTTTTACAGGGACTTTCCATAGACATAATGATTTTTATACTGTACAAACTGTATATTCTATCCCCTAGCCCTAAACAAACCTCACAGAAAACGTTCTACATTTTTAAAAAACATTGTTTAGTATGACTTATAAGCTGGTTTCCCTCATAGAGACCAGAAATGTCTCCACAAAGTAAAAAAATTAAAAAATTTTGCGATCCTTGTGAAGACATTTGGTTTTAACAGCATACAGTTTATCCGGAACACACACACACACAGATATCAGATAGCATTGAAACTCAGATGGTCATTTTACTTAACTTTCATTTTAGTAACTTTTGCATCGTTAAACTAAATGAAAATTAGAAATGTTTCCTTAGCAACTGTACTGAACTAATTTTATCATGTACTGATAATTGTTTTGTATCATTTTGTATTTGTTAAAATTAGTTGATGCACTGAATTAACATATGACCAATTGTACTTTTATTAACTAACATTAACAAAGGATAATAAATGTTGTTTTATATA